CCGAGCCAAAAATCTGTCGTTTTCAAGTCAAGTAAAATTAATGAAGAAAATCGCCCATCTAATCGTAAGAAGGAACATAAAGCTGAAAAGCGTTTAAAAAATAACATTAGCTTTTTTTACGATTAAAAATCTGCAGATATTCTAGAAACAATATGTACAATATTTGCACATACATTATACAGAGAAATTAAAAATGGTACTTGATGTTTCTATTGTTCGCTTTTGTTGTATTCTCTTATCGTTAGTCGCTTCAAACGCAAAAATGCTGCGACTGAAAATATTTTCTATGTGAGAAAGGCCGCTCCCTCGTTTGTGCGCGCCGTGACAAAGTCAGCGCGTCGTCAATCATACTCCTCTGTCTCGGCAAACGGCGCCGAGTATTCTCGGAAAATGTAAGAAATTTATTTCGCGCGTTTTTCTCGCTTTTCGTGATGTTTCTATTAGTCACAGAAGCCGCTAAAATTAGTTAACGGCACGATTACGATAACTGTGGCCCCCTATTTGAAAGGTCGTTTCTGAAGACATTTTTGACGAGGAACACGGGAAAGGATCAAGATCAACATCGTTGGGTCCGTTTTTATAAAGTTTTATTATCATGTCCAATACTTTAAAGTGATATATCTCGAAAACTATTGGTCGGAAATTTTTTTTACTATTTTTCCCGTGTTCCTCGTCAAAAATGTCTTCAGAAACGACCTTTCAAATAGGGGGCCACAGTTATCGTAATCACCCCCAGTTATCCATTATAGTCATTCGACGTGTCGAATTTCGCAAGCTGCTTGTCGTAAACGTTTATCCCATTTTGCGCCTCTCATCATTATTTCTCAAAGTTCGAAAAGCGCAATTAATGCATGTCGCGATCAATCGACGAGATACGCAGAATTTCAAGTAGAGCTATTCGCACTCGCGCGGATAACGAGCGTGCGCGCGTGTTAATCACGCGGAGTGGAGAAGCACGTCGTTTACCAGCAGTAATTGGCGGAAGGCAGTTTACCGGGCGTTCATTAATAATCCTCTTTGACGAAGACAGGAGAGGCTGCGACGTGTAACGAAGAGCGCACACGAGCTTCGCGAGTGAGGATGTTCGTTGAAACGAAAGCCTAACATCGCGACCTTTCGGAAGAGAGGACGGACTTCTTCGTCTCATTCTATTTCCACGAGTTCATCATTCCTATCACGTTGCATTATTCTAGCGGACTCTTTGTATCTGGTGATATCCATTTTAAGAACGTCTCGGATACAACTATTGTCAATGTCCCATAGCCAACGATAATAGTCTATCCACACCGACAATAATTTTAATAATCAAAATTATTTAAAATTATAACAGAAGTAGTGCAAAAAATATAATTGTGTATATATATATATTATTCAGTAATTTTTTAATATATTTTCTAATATTCAAGATATATCGCAGTAATATTGTGTATAATATATATAATTATATTTAAAAATCTGTGTGAGATTCTAAATATTAATCCCCCCCCCCCTCCTGTTTTAAATACAGGAATAGTTCTCTTTATCGATGCAATATATTACATCAACATTGCGATGTTCCATCGCATAGCATTACTGTCATCCATCCACCGGTGCCATCGGTGCGATATATTAAGAATGGCGCCAAGGAGTAGCGGCGGGCATGCGAGTAATTTTCGCGTTTGAAAATAGAACGAAAAAAAAAGTACGATTGCGCTATCTTAGGCCGTTTCACATCGCATGTTTGTCGCTGCTTAAATATCATGACAACTGGCAGTACGCACGATTAGATAATAATTATTATCTATGGCGAAAAGAAAAACATGAATAAATATTGAAAAAATATTAAATAGTTCAAATTCTTGAAAGACTAAATATTTTATCTTTCACTCATAAATTTCATTATATAATTTGATATTATAAAAGTATGCGAGCGCAGTAATTAATAATTATTCAAAGTTATGACATTTGTTTGAAGAAAATTTTCACTTCCTCTTCTCTTACTTATTCCCGCAAAATCTAGTTTCCAGAGTAAACACGATTGCTGAAAGACGTCTTGTGTTCTCGAATCGAAATAATTCGTGCATCTCGTTGCGGATATACGGACAAACAAGCATTTTCCACCTCATCCTGTCTCTCTCTCTCTCTCTCTCTCTCTCTATATATATATATATATATATTTGTTTTTCTTAGCTGTCTTTCAAACTCAATGAATTCTTGTTCCGTACATCGGTATACCTTGAGCTAGGGCCACCTTGATCGACATTTAATTGGAGCCGAGACATCGAGGCTCCGAGAAACGCAAACGGCCCTGAAGAATTTACCGAGAGAGCTTTACCGGTTGTATGAGAGGACGAGAGGAAGAGCAAGAAACAAGAGCGATGGTCCACTGTAGACGAGGAGCGGAGCAAGTGGTAAGGATAAGAAGAGAGGAAACGAAAAGAAAGAGAGAAAGAGAAAAAGAAAAAGAAAGAGTGAGGGACAGCGCGGAGGCCAGGCGTCTGATTACTAGCCAGCACAGGACACCAGACGTACATAACTAAACAACTTCCTAAATTCTATATCATTTTGGAACGTGTTCCGACGGGTGAAATAACGCGTCTAGACCCATGTCGCGACTCGTCGCGAGGGAGGGTTAGTAGGGACACAGTTTTGCGTCACAGTCTGGCAAATGCGTTTTCTGTCGCCGTGATTTTTGCTCGGTCGTATTCAATAAATTAAGAATAAAGAGAAAGAGGGAGAGAAATATACAAATCTATACTTTTGTTAATTCGATTTAAATATCATGCTATTATTTGTCGACACATTATTTTATCCTATTCTAGCTTTCCTCCTCACATTCATGCAGCGACTTTATGAAAACTCATTAGAAATTTTATGGAAACTCATAAAATCCAATCGCAATATTTATTTAAGAATGATGCGTAACTCGCGAGGTGTCACGCAAAGTGCGAATTACGCACAGCATAAATATCTAATGTCTAACAATAAGTATTAAACTGATTGTGGAACGAGATACTAAGCCGGAACGCCGTAAGCTACTTCATCAATTTTAATGTTGCGTAAACTGCGACTCTTCCAACAGATTACGATGCTCTATCGGTCGTATATATGTTTGATAGAAGAGCGTTAGTCGTCCGAGAAATATGATTTTAACGAAATTTTTCGATGCGATCTTGCTTCTTCAAATATCGCTACCGATGCAGGAGATAACGGAGATGACGATGATATCAAAGAGGATATAATGATCGGCAAAGGATCCAAGCGTGTTATGCTACGTTACGACTACGCATTGCGATTATAGAAAAATGAAATTATAGGCTCCCGTAACTTTATAAAGTGGGCTTTGCCGGACGAAGCTATGCAGCCGCCTATTACAAAATTACGTTCACGAGATCGCGCGAAACGAGTTTCTAAAATTAGAAAATTTATGAGCGACGAGCGAGATCCTTTCGACTCCGATGGTATGCCATTCGCAACCCTTTTTTAGTATTTCGGTCAACTATTCGACCTCGTTCTCTCGTATACCTGGCCGGTCGACGCGACGATCCAAATTAAACCCGCCGCGCCATGTCTCACCTTCGGAGATAAATTGCACGATTTACGCATTATTAGACGACCGATGCACACGTGTATATAGACCGATACAGCGTTCCTCGCGAGCCGATTCAGGACAGAAAGATTTTTCTAGGTCCCCCTGTATCTTTGAAAATTAAATCTCGCACAAGCTTACGTTTGCAATAAGAAAACCATTCTTTTTAAAATGAAGTAAGAATGCATGTGTGTATAGTAAACAAAAATAAAAATAAGTATAATTTTTGTTGCAGATTAGGCATCTCTACTTTCATAAGCGCAATCGGCAGTGCGGTCTTTAAAGTTTTGTAAGTATTCAAGATATTTAGGAAAATTAATAGTTTTATTTCCAAAGATGGGAAATGCACTGGCTCATTCGAAGCGAGTATATACGAATTTCTAGGATTAATTTTCACGTGCTTTTAAGATATTTAGGAAAATTAATAGTTTTATTTCCAAAGATGTGGGAAATGCACTGGCTCATTCGAAGCGAGTATATACGAATTTCTAGGATTAATTTTCACGTGCTTTTAACAAAGAAATATCCATATAATATGAAAAACAACGACGATGCATTTTTCAAAAATTAGAGCGTCGCGCCATGTCGACTCCTTGCCATTTTCTTCTCGTATACCCGTATAGTGGTGTGCGTGTGTTCCTCGCCGGCGTTTCTTTGTCGTTCGTCGACGAATGGGTAACTCTCTTTTACGACCGATAACGTGACTAAAATTTATCCTGGAATGTTGACCCTCGAAGGTGGAGCGCGACTCCGTTTGACGTTGAAGACGCTGGCGTTAGTTTTTAAGGACAGACAATTTGACATCCTCGTTTCCCATCCCATTTCTCCATAATTGTCTAAACTAAAAAATTCACTGTCGAGATAAGAGTTTAATAAATAATAAAAATCTTTTTTCTTTATAACAACAAACATTTTTGAATACGTGACATAATCTAGCGACTCTCTGGAGGATGACAACAAATCCCATTTATGCAAGATTAGGTAAACAAATAGAGATATAAAAAATTATATATTTAGCATATCTAAATTCTCATTTTCATCAAATTTGACCATTTAATCATGACATTACGATGATTCACGCATTTGCATAAGGCTGTAAAAATTTCGATTCAAATTCGTGCGACGAGCCGAGACACGCGGCCTACGTATATATGTATGTATACATATATGTATATATCTCATTGTCAATCCCTGCGAGGCGCCGCGCAGAGAGACCGGATGGATTCGAGTCCTCGGCACCGCTACTTGGCGATCGTGGCGCCGTCACTGGCGCAGCCATGTTTGATGGTCTCTTTCTCTCTTGTGTGTTTAGTATGCTACGGTCGTTGTATCGGCGTGTCGTCGGCACGAAAAGGACGGGACGAGACGAGCCACCGAGGCGGTGAGACGGGAAGGAGGGTGAGGCTGCGTGTTGGCAGCGAGAGGGAAGGGAGGATCGGACGAGAGCAGTGGTGGGGGAAATCGGTGCGAGAGAGCGCGCGCGCACCCGCTCGTGACGGCGAGACCTCGTGCGTGCGTGCCAGTCTCATTGCCGAGCTTAGCCGAGTCGGAGTGATCGTGCCGCGTCGGTCGGTCGTGCGCAACAGTTCGTCCCGTCCGCTGATGACGTTGGTATTCGTCGCGCAAACGATAGAAGAAAAGGAAGATACGGAGGAAGAGGGCAACGTACACTCGAGCCTCGAAAGATAGAAGCCTTAGGCGCCGGTCACGCCGGGCGGAAATGCGGCCGGCGATCCCGTTTCGTGTCCGTGAACATGCACGTCAACGTTGCTGAAGGTGAAGAAGAGAGCAAGAAGCGTCGCTTCTTCGCGCCGCTCTGAAGTGAAGTTTGCCGCTCTCTCTAGCGCCAACCGTACGACCTCTCTCTCGCCCTCCGTACAGTTGCCGGTCTTTTCCCACTCCTCCCCCTTTTCGTGTCTTTCCCTCTCCCGTTTGTTCGCTCGATCGCGTTCTCTCGCATCTCACCTCACCTTCGCCAAAGTATCGCCCCTGCGCGCGCGCTCTCTCCGTTCCGCGGGGTTCAGCGATTTCAAGAATGTGACAGTGCGCGTCCTCGCGACCGGTCGAGCGGACGAGTGTTTCGCGTACGCAAGTTCTCGTTAAAAGGGGCAACGATAGCAACGGCGATGGATGTCGAGAATCGCGGCATCGTGTCACGGTGAGAGAAAGAACAGAGCGCGTGGAAACGTAACGCGAGGAGATAAAAGAAGAAGAAGAAGAAGGGAGAGAAGGACGGACGATGCGAGCGGAAAATGTCACTCGGTGATACGCGCGCACGGATGACGGGGAGTGATCGACGGAGCGACGATCGCGAGTCTGAGGTTGTTGGAGTGTCGTCGCGGCGGCGGTGGTGGTGGTGGTGGCAGCGGTCGTCGTTGTCGCCGTCGTCGTCGTCGTCGTCGTCGTCGTCGTCCCTAGACGGTGCCGCCGGCGCGGTGGTGCCGGCATTGGCGACGGCGCGATCACCGGATCATCGAGAGCACAAGGAGCGACTCGATTATCGCGTTCTTCTGCCACGAGCGTCATCGAGATCGAATTACTATTATTCGACAACAACGTCGTCGCGTCAGCTGTCGGCGAGAGTCGCGGCGAGTTTCTGCTCCTGAAGAGGATTCAGCGGCGGCGCCGCGGTAACGTTACCGCGACGCGACGTCGCCGGTGTGTATACACCGTGCATACGTACACACACATATATAACATACACGTGTCTCGCGTCGTTGGTGTGCGCGTCGGTTGTGCCGGGTCGCGCGAGGTTAAGGCACCACCGCATCGCCCTCGATACGTACGCGACGGCCGAGGAAAGTAAAGGCCGGGTGTCGTGCGTGCGCCGACCGATTCGTTTCGTGCTTACCCTCCCTCTCTACCTCCCTCCCTTCTCCCCGTGTCTCTTCTTTCTCCATCTTTCTCTCTCTCTCTCTCTCTCTCTCTATCTATCTATCTCCCGAGAACGCGTGTGTAACGGATAAGAAGTGTACAACGATATACCCAGTAGCAGTGCTCCCGCGTCCGTCGGTAACCTCGACGGTGACCAGTTGCGTCGTGTGTGCGTGTGTACCGAGTGCGTGTGCGTGCGTGCACGCGCGATTCGGGCGCGTGGTGCGTTTTACGTCGTCGGTCGCGCGCGGACGACGACGTCGACGATTGGCGTCCGCGGCTCGTCTGTCCGCGATGCCGACAGTGGCTCGCGCTCACGGCCGTCGTGCGGATTGTTTGTCCCCGAGAGGTGTCCGTCGACGATAAACGGGATTATACGAGGAGACCCCCCACCCCCACCCCCGGTAACTCGGCGAGAACGGGAGAAGAGAATCGAGGAAACCAAGACGCATTAATTCACGCATAGATCGTGGAATAAGAAGAGGCGAAGGTGGAGAGCGACCGAAAACGAACGAGAGATAAATGAGAGTTCAAGGTCAGCCGGTGATGGTGTTGGACCCGAGCTCGTCTACGCGGCCAAAAAACTTATCCGAAGAAGGTGGATCGTTCCTTCGTCGCTCGTTGAAAGTCGGAAATATCCACCCGAGAGAGAGAAACGTGCACGCACGGATGCTTCGCTAGCCGGTCCGAGAGAGAGAGAGAGAGAGAGAGAAGGAGAACAGAGATACAAGAGAAGCGAGAGGAGAATTTGCGAGAAAGAGAGAAAGAAGGACCGTGAAACGGAGCTCCGCTGTACCCGCGCGCGTTGGACTGTCACATTATTTCGGGACCGTGATCGCGCGCGAGATACGCGCGCGCGCGCGCGCGGGCATAAATAAATATACACGCTTGCTTGCGCGAGCGTGCGCGACTGTGTCTGTGCATGTGTGTGTATTTGCTCCATATCCGTCTGTGATCTCGCGTGTGTGCGCGAAAAAGTGTTTTCAATTTTTGACAGTGCGTATTTGTTGAAAGAGAGAGAAGAAGAGGAAAGGGACTTTGCGGAGGAGAGGGTGTTGGAAGAGGAGATCGCGGCGGGTTCGGATCCGAAGCGGAACATCGGCGTGTGTTCTCCGACCGACCCGCGTGCGTTCGGTCGGATCATCACCCCCATCAATCCCCCCCTCCCTTTGTTTTCCTACGGCGGCTACGTTGAAAAGGACTGGCCACCAAATGCGCGTACCGCAAATCCTGTTTCATGTTGATGTTCTGGAGCAAACGGACGGTGCTCACTAGACGTCTGCTGAAGGCCAAGGTCCGTGGGGAGCATGAAACCGAGTGTGAAGCTCAAGAGGATTCATCGTCACGTACGTTTCATCGCACGAGCAGCAGCAACACGAGCGGCGGCGCCGCCGCCGCCGGTTACGACAACAACACGGCGACGACGACGACGACGACGACGACGACGACGACGGGCCGACAAGTGAGCAGGGTGAGCGGAGCAACGGAAGGTGGAGGAGCGGTGGTGTACGCGAGTCGCAACACGAGCCGATTACAGCAGGGCTGCTGCGGCGGCGGCCACGTGAGCCAGGATGACGACGAGCAACAGCAGCAACGGCAACGCGATCCCGGCCGTCTGTTGAGGTGCAAGGAGCTCCTCAAGACGCTCAAGGAGAATCAACTGGAGATGCTGCTCACCGCCGTCGAGAGCTCCGGCGCCGATCTCGGCTCGTGCGTCCTCGTGCCGCGTCAGCAACGATCGGCTGAGGATTATCCCATGTACGATCAGCAACACGAGCAATACCATAGCAGACCGCATCGTCATCACGGTCGTCACTTCCAACAGCATCGATATCGTCGTTATCGGCATCGATCCAGCAGGCACCATCGCTCGTCCTCCGTCGAGGACGAGCAGGAGAGCTATTGCTCCGCGTCGGAGGACTCGTTGTCCGCGTCACCGATGAGATCGGACAGGTGCTGCGTCGGCGGGAAGGCGAGTAACGGCGGCAGCGGCGTCGTCGTGCCAGTGAGAGGATCGACCGAGGGAAGCAGCGGCGCGCCGAGCGATCCGCACCTTCTCTGCTGCCAGATCTGGCGGTGGCCGGATCTCGAGCACTCCTCGGAGCTCAAGAGACTACCTATCTGTCATTCCGCTAAAGATCCCGTCTACATATGCTGCAACCCTTATCACTGGAGCCGGCTCTGCAAACTCGGTAAGCGAAATGCTCTTCTTTTCTTTCGTACCTTTCCGCTTTTATAATACCGAGAGATAAGTCTTAAGACCAAAAATCTTGGTACAAGTTATGTAACACGTTAATTCGCACTAACATCGTCAAAAATTGCCAGTAGTTTGCCGCTTGTGATCGAATTACAGTCAACATATTTTATATTTAAAATAATCTTATCAGAAAAGAAAATTACAAATTTAGTGTATATAAAGATAAAAATAAACTAAACTTATTTCATAACAAACATTTCTTTTCGAGATGTAAAATAAACGTTCTATAAAAATTAATAAAGACATCGTGTATATATATATAGTTTCGACGTAAAACAATTTCCTCCAAAATTTTAATTTTTTAAAGAATATTTCATTCAAAATTGCTGTGTGTAAATAATAAGACGTAAATCTATAGTCGCCAAAAATACATAAAAATCAATTCAGATCTCTTAATATATGCCTTTTCCGGGAACATATATACAACATCGTTTAAAACGAACGTGTTTAAGTCCGTCTTGCCACCGGTGGTGTCTAGACGTCGGAATAATTTAACATTGTAACGCACAGCTGGCTATATTGTAACGATCGTAGACCTCAAACCAAACGCGCTAATCGTCACCTGTGTGCGCGCCGCCCGGTGCTAACAAGCCTAAAGACTTGAGCCAGTGTAAAATGGAAATTTATTACAGATGGGTGCGAGGTTTGGGCGACGTGTCTACCTGGTTACGTTTAAAATATAGGTAAATACAGGCAATATATATTCCCAGGAGAAAACTACGGGGTGTCAAATGTCAATACATTGACGCTTTCCCATCGCGAAAGTTGAAGAGGCAAATGAAAAATAAAAACATCTGTTATTGGCATGAAAAATAAATTTTATCGTAAATTAATCACACACATAAGATTTTGCAAGAGAGAGAGAGAGAGAGAGAGAGAGATATCGTGGATTGATTTTTTGCAATATAAAATGACGTTTATAATAATAATAATTATAATGATATGATTACGGAATCGTGATTTAGTTCAAATTAATGGAAGATAATTTAGTTTGAAACGTCGAAACATATTCGATACGGTCGTTCTTTCCTTCACACAATCGCTAAAGATATATTACGGCAGGTATAAACTTTCAAAAGCCGACGACAGGATTCTTTCAGGTTTTCAAGTGCGCTTTTGTGTCTTAGACTCAAGCAGGTATATAATCGTCCGACACATAATTCTCAAAAGAGTGTGGCCACCGACAGATATTTATTTTGCGAACTGCCCGCGAATGGCCCGCGCCATAGTAACTCTATTCTTCCGTAGAATTCAAATTTCATCATCTAATTATATCCACGAAAAGAATTTTCTTTAAGACATTAAGAAGATAATCGGATGTGTTAAAAAAGGAAGAAACTCATTTAGCTACGTGACGTTAATAGTGCGAGAATTAAAACTAATGAGTAAACTTTTCAAATGCATTGACGTACTTCTGCGGATTCTTAACTAATGTTTATATTTGCAATGCTTATTTCTAACGAACGAGCATTGCAAATATAAACGTTAACTTAAGAAAATATTTGCAATTTTAATGAAGCTTTAAGTATATAATGTATACAACTTTCATTATATCTAGTTGCACATTTTGAAATATATGAGTAACGAGAGACGCGCGTTAAAAATTTATTTCAACGTCGGCCTTTGTAAAGTTTCTTTGAAGACTCTTTTCGGAACGATATTTCCTCTAATAACTGTGCTATGACGCATGACTTTACACCGTATTCATCGGTATTCGTCACTTTGAACAAAGTAGTCGAATTTATGGATCCCGAGACCGTCCTCTGTTGTCTGCGCGTCCGGTGACGTGACTTCGATCGCAAAAAAGCGTCGCGCCCTAATAAAGTGGGAGAGAGGGAGAGAGAGAGGAAGCGGGCGGAGTAGGCGCCAGTAAAACGCGCCTTTACGTAACCTCGGCGATCATTTAACCCGGTGTCGTTGTTGGGAGGCCCAAGCCGAGGAAATTCGATCGTGCGAACCACGGTAGGGTACGGTGTTTTAAGGTTGTCATGCGTTCCGAATCGAGGAATATTATCTCAAGGAAGATCCTTGAAATTGAAGTAACGCGTACGCTGCAGAATTTCAAAGAAAAATGGATACTTTCCAAGAAACATACATATTTCTAAGACGTATACATTAATAAAACGTGGTTATTTAAAGAGCTACATATTTTACATCGCGACATCATTTTGAAAGGTTTAAAGAGACGATATCCCGTATGACTGCCGAGTAAGAAAAAATACGACTTTCTACGCGATCATTCATGCGAATGCTCACCGGCGCCGGTGGTCTAATCGTGACAACATCGATTCGTTAAAGTCGAGCGCGCCGCGTGTACGATTTATTGATAATATCGAGCGTTTATTGCTGGAAAATCGCGTCGAACAGGCGCGACCGATTCGCTGCCGGCGCGACACCTTCGCGAGAAAAAAAATCGCGACGATGAGATAAAATCGCGGCTACATGTATATTTCGTAATTAACAGCGCGTGATGCCGGAGAAGGAAGGGAGGAGAAGGAGGGAAGGGGAACAAGCGGATCCTTCGAATTCCATGCTGAGGTTTCCACGACTAATAATAGCGAGCGGTCGCCGACGCATTTGGGGAAAGAGAAGCGGGAGAAAGCGCCCGCAGAAACGACGAAATAGACGCGTCAGCGCGCAGACACCCCGACCGAGCTCGGAGAAAGAAGGGCAAGGAGGGAAAAAAAAAATACTTGGGACGAGCGACGCATGTTAGAGGAAAGAAAGAAGACGAGCGAGTGTAGGATCGCGTTAGAAGTGACGAGAGAGAGAGCGAGCACTTACGAATGGTCGTACAATCAAAGTTATGGCCAGAAGGAAATGAATCTAAAAATAAAACGTATATTGGGCGAGTCAGTCGCGGCTGGCGGAAAGACGGCGATGCGAGAGAGTGGGAAGGGTTGGTCGACCGGCGAGGCGACGACGGCGACGGCGAGAGAAACAGAAAGAGCGAACGAGCGCGACGCGACGCGACGGATGAAAGAGCGAGGGGGAGCTTAACGGCCGAGATCGCGCAAGAAAGAGAAAGAGAGCGAGAGAGAGAGAGAGAGAGACGGTAGGAGAGGAGAGCGGAGCGGATGGCAGACTGAGGACGGGGCGCGGGGCGCCGTCGAGCATGTGCGGTTAGGAAGGGCAGCGATGGCGAGGGGATCGGCGCGCGGAGACACCGTCCGTCGCGGGATCGCGCGAGAGAGAGGGGTACGGGATGGGACGCGGAGAGAGAGGGGGCTGCAGTCCGGCGCCGCTGCGTGTCATTGCTGGCGCCAGCTAATTGTCGAGGCCAGCCGGCATTAGCCGAGAAGCTGACCGAACTGAGGCGAACCCCACGAGAGCAGGCGGGCAAGCAAGTCGGTACCCCCGACACTTCAATGAGGTTTCGTCGGCCGGAGAATTGCACCGACCGAATCTCCCGTATCGGTGAAAACTTGACCGGTATCCCTTTTTTTTTTTTTTTTTTTTTTTTTCGACCGTCCCTCGCGCGAATCCGTGTTTAGTATTCGATAAAGATTCTGAAGAAATGATATCGAGTATTTCAACTGTAACTCGTCTTAGATAATTTGTTTGAAACTTGAGAACGTTGAATTATAAACTTGAGAAGGGGTTTATTATCTATCCTCTTAATCTTAAATTTGCTACAATTTATATATCCTGAACATTAAATAATTGTATAGTTAGAGATTTTTACAAATGAAAAAATCTCGAAGTTTGATAAGGAATATTGTATTATCCTATAAATTTCTCAAGGCTATAACTTTAAGAATTATAAGTGACTATAGCTAATTCTCAATTTTTACAAACAGAAAATCGTCTCAAAATTCGATCATAAATATCTCTTATAACTATTTTACTGACATATAGATTATCTGAGACAGTATAAATAAATACACCCACTGCAACGCTGACTGTTGACCTTCGATCGTTGAAATTTTTGAGATTTCGGAATCGGGGGCAGCGAAGACGTCAAGAATCTTTGGCTGGTACCAATGTGTTATTATATTCTCAATCTTCTGGGACGCGCATGTTTCAGAGTCATTTCGGCGGATCGGCAATAGGTTTCCTAGGAATTTAAATTTGCTGCGCTGTAAATTACGGAGATACTTAAATTTAAGTTTCTTTGTCGTGACAAAGACTGTTTACGCACTGAAATGATGTTATTCGCGGCCGTCCACGTGTTCGCATTCGTGATATAATTTCTATATATTCGAATCAAAATTTTTCGATACCTATATACATATATATTTTGTGGCGCATTTTACAGATGAGCAACATTACAAAATACAATAAATAAATTTAATATTATTAAAATAAATTTTAATAATATTAAATATTAATAATAATTAATACATGGTAAGTTCGTCGTGCTGAGTGCACACCGGCTAGTGCACATCGGTGACACGGTGCACCGAAACGTAACGCGCAACGACGTGCGTACACGCGTTTTGCAATGCGCGAACGCTTTGAACGAGGCTCTCGCGCAAACTGTGCAAAAGACGAAGCAGGCCGCCCAGTTCTTCCCGAGCGTTACCGCGGTCCAGGAAATGGTCGACAGCGTCGTCGATGTCTCACATCTGGCTAAGGATCTCAAAGTCGCCATGATAAAAAAATATTAATAATAGTTTATATATATATATACAAAGAAAGAGAGAGAGAGAGAGAGATAAATTCTTAAAAAAATATTTATTGCTAACAGTAAAAAATCATATTCTAATATACACATACATAAAACGCACATACATATATTTCTTATGCTCTAATGCACATATTTTCTTTAACCTACATTTATTTTGGTCGACTATACGCACCCGTAATTTAGTTCGCATCGCTCGAAATAACGCGCATATTCGATACGCAATGACGCATATGCGATGACCGGTAATCGCGACACAGAGGCACTATTTTTCTCGACTTCGGTTCAATTTACGCGCAACACATCGCCGGCGCTCGTAAACGGACACCGGACGCGACTATTGTCAGCGATCGTCGATAACATACGCTAATTTCGTATCGGATCGCGCGGCGTTTTATCGCGCGTAAATCACTCCCCGCGGTGGCGCCTTGTTTTCGTAACGCCGCGACACAAGCTCGCCGCCGTCTTTATCTGTTTTTGCATTCGGCGGTCGTTCGTTCGCGTACCATTGCCGGGGCGGCCGGTTAATAATTCACGCCGGCGAATCGATTATCATCGGCCAACCGGCGACAGCGGCGGCGACGGCGACGACGACGACGACTGCTGTGTATCGTCGTTACGCAAATCGTCGCGAGGCAGGTTTTTATCATTACACCGCGATTCGGCGCTGCGTAAATGTGTGCACCACTTTCTCCGCCGCGCTCCAAATATTCATTCACGCCCGAAAATGCTAGGAAGCGATTTCCATATATATATATATATTTTTTTTTTCTTTTTTTTTTTTTCTTATATAAAAAAATATAATACCATTTCCTACATTTTATTGACGAATATTTAATTGAACATGAAAACAAGTTTTGCATAATATAAAAAGAATAGCTATTTTGTATAAAAAATATAAACATAAGAATATATATATATATTCACAATATGTATAATCAATGCATCTCTAACATAGATTCTTACATCATTTGCTTTCAAATCTAAGCAGGGTTTCGTTCCAGGAACTTTTTTGTCACAATATCAGTGCGACATTGGTTTAAGTCTATGTAGTCTATGCTGGTGCATCCTACCACGGGACATCTGTAAACATAATACAAATACACTGTAATACACTAGTATACTTCGATATTTGGCATTATGTAAAAAGAAACACACCTGGTATTTTTATTTTTACGTAACATTGCGATAAGGCTTTCTTTATCATATACATGACCACAGACTGTATTTTTCACTGGATGGGTCATCCTTGTTTTAGAAATTGGATCAATCACGTTTATGTCTTGACCTGTCAATCGCAAATCTTCGTCTGTGTCTTCTTCCAGTTCATTATTAGATGCATCTTCATTAGCTAAAAAATTTATATTATTCTCAAGAAAGGGGAATATTTCAAAAATAAACTTTAGATCAGAATTTCTACTTTAGCAATTACCTTGAAGCAATATTTCAATCTGCCGATCATACTCCAATAATCTGTTATATTTTGATGAATCAACTTGGATGTTAGATACAGCCTCCTTATATTCCTGTTACAAACACAGTAAATACTGTAAAATCTTATAAAGCTGAAAATTCTCTTCAAGTTAAGATTATCTTACTTTTATAATATCTTCGACATTTCTGGATTCTGGATCAAAAGTGAGTTCTAGTTGCTTTTTGATCTCATTTGCAGCCACTATTCTTGCAGATCCACTACAATTTTCTTTTAAGACATCTCTTAATTCTTCCAATATTTTCTTTCTCTCTTCTTTATCAGCTGAAAAAATATTTTTTTTTTTAATGCTTGTGAGATAGACACTATATATATTGATTTTTACTATTGCATCTTCTGCATTTGGAAAGGGATGCGCAAATATAAAAGAAAAATATGTAAATATGCAGATACTGCACTTGGAAAAAAAATTTGTATTCCTGATAAAATGTATTTCTAACCTCGCTAGAATCTTACCGTAGTGTTTCATAATATTATCCGCTGTTTTCACGAAACAATCATCAAGAGTTTCTATCATCTGTGTAGACTGTGTCATTTTGTATAATATACACTAATTATTCAAAATATATTAATGCCAGTTGTCAAATTTCTCTTCAGTAGCCAGTTACTAAACAAATTGGCGCCATTTAATAAACAACCTTAAGGTGCCTTTACATGGCAGCGTCAAGCGTCGAGCGTCTGCGTAGAAAATTGCGCAGAATCTAATTTCAGCCTAGAATCTATCTCTTTTAAATTCTGCGCATTTTTCTGCGCAGACGCTCGACGCTTAAAGGTGCCTTTACATGGCAGCGTCAAGCGTCGAGCGTTTTTTGCAGGATTTTTATCAGAAAATTGTTTGCGTATGCATGTTTGTTATAGCGTGCGATTCTTTTTATATATGGAAGATGATATCTGGAAACATTCCTATGCATATTGTTTGGCTTTTCTTTGTTTTGAGACTGATATATGCGATGGTCTCGGTTCAATAAATATAATAACATTTATCTCTCTTGCGCTTGTATATACGACAGACGGATAAACAGGCCTAGAAATAGGCGCGTCTCGTTTCGAAAAGACATTTGGCGGCGCGATTTATGTAATGGCCACGGGAACGCCACGCGTTTATTACAAGTACCTTAACGGGGGGCTAAAACATCGCCGTTGAAATCGTGCTCGCGGATCTTGTTATTCGAATCGTGCCAAACTTCGACTCCAAGTTTGAAGTGCGTCGATGAGTGACACACACCGCGCCGGCTTTATTAAAGCTCGGCGGCGACGCGGCGGCCAGTCGATTCTGGAGAGGGATTAAACTGAGTGCGATCAAGAGAGCAAAGAGAGAGAGAGAGAGAGAGAGGAAATGAGGAACGCGATTCGCGGGAGAGGATCCACGTGTAGGCGCGACAGGCGGCCATTACGCGTCGACATCGCACCACGTTTATTATCTAGGAATTTCGGCATAATTTCTCTATCGCCTAATTCTCCTCTGTCATTAGTTAACAAATCCATATCTTATATATAAAAAGAAATTATTTTTGATACGCCGATGTCAACATTTTATTACGATCTATGATATGAATCTCTGATGATATAATAGTATTATTGTTTCTGTCACGTAAATTTTTATTTAAATGACTGAAATAATTGATAGAAACGATCAATATTTTTTTTTTTTCGTCAGAATATCACATTCTCTCTCTCTCTCTCTCTTTCTCTCTTATTATAAGATAATTTATTTTACAATATATATCTAGTTTCTTTTAAAATATTTTTTATTATACACAAATTCTTTTTTAATAAACCATTTGTTTATTAATCTCACTTAAAGTATAAAATTTCTCTGAAAAAATTAAACGTCCAGGAAAAAGCAAATTAAGGGGTAAGTTTTTTTTCAAGACTGGCGGCAAGGATGCAATTACCTATCATACATACGTGCGTATCTCGGCCATGCGGTACGAGCGATGAAGGCAGCGTTCCGTTTTCTTAAGCACGGGAAGCATCGGGTTACCTTGACGTTTGAGATATTCGCGCCGCGATTTGTCCTCTATACTTTCAGGGCGCGTATACGTAAAAGGACGAAAAACGGCATACCGGTTTCGCAGGCGCTCCGTGCCAATAATAGAACTTGCCGCTTTTGGACCTAGACTTCTTTCTAACGGGGCGCCCGTCGTGACATTTTGCTCCGTCACTTGGCGTTGATGCCATTGATTCGATTTAATCGAAAATCACCGGAGCCTCTTGGATCCGTTTCTCAATGACTCCGTAATCGATACGGATATATCAAACGATATCCTTAACTGAAATTAATGGAATCATTGACATCATTTATACACTCTTCACTCTTCATATTACTTTATATCACATAGTTACCTTGAAAAAAAAAAATATATATATATAATTATTAAAGAATTATTTATAAGAATTATTTAATAATTATACCGCTCTCAATAAAAGATGCATACTATAAATTATAGCTAAAAGTATCTATTAAAATAAATGAAATTTTTCATTTATATCCCAAATAATGCAAATACTCGAATAAAAAGATTTTACTTTTTGCGACATTTTATTTTGTCGATTAGATAATACATACCGTAATTCATCCAAACAGTTTCGAGTTGCACGCAGATGACAATTTTCATTTTTTTATTTCAGAGTCGCCGCCACCCCCCTATTGCCTTATCGCCGACAGACTGAGACCCGAAGGTGAGTGTCTTTGTCTTTCACGCCGTAATCAGAAATGTCTGAGTGTGGATCATGCATGCATGCGCGTGTGAATGTGTACGCGCGTGCGTGTTGTCTTCGCGCAACCATGCCGATGATAATTCATGTTTATTGCTTGCAAACGTTTACCATACAAGCAGTAAGATTTGTCTCTCCTAGCGCGTGTCGTGTCTCATGACCTAGCCCAAAGCAAGATTAGGGATGATCCGGGATGAGTGTGACATTGTTTCTATTTTACAGAGTTTATGGCGAATCTCCCGTTTAATTCGCGTGCGTTTAAGATTACGCGCAAATAATGCTTATAACGTGATTTAAAAGTATCAATTTAAAATTCTACGCCCCGATGTGTGTGAAAAGGACCTTGACATTTAACTTTTTTTCAAGTCACGTTTTTGTAACACGCTGTTCTTATTCAATTAGCTCTTCGATTTAAAGCGGAATATCTTTTGAACGCGATTAAAACTCATGAGATTGATCGATATGCTATTATTCTACTAATTGACATTTGTCACGCGTGGATGAGATCAATAAATAAGATGTCAATATATTTTTCTTCGACATCAAGGATAGGCGAAAAAATAGAAGCTACTATCTAATCTATACGATGGAATAAATATATGATATTTTTTAGTCGTACAACACAGGACTTTTCGCACTTTTCATCATGATAACACCGCGAATTTTTGAGAAATAAATAGATTATTTTGTCGCGAATAAAACTGACGGTTTTATTAGACAAAGTCTAACAAAGGCAAATGTATAACATTCGAAGAGAGATAGCATTTTCATCATATATGTATCGAAGGTTCTCAATCTGCCGTAACATAATATTACATCGCGAATATGAAATTAGCACAGTTTTGACAAATTTTCGCAACAAATAATATATTTTTACAAAAATTTTAGATGTCTAATAAAATGAATATTAAATAAAAATAAAATACAAATTTAGATAGCTAGAAAAAAATCAAAGTATAACGTATATTCATGATTCTTTATGATTACAACTACATGCTGTAAGTCGATCTTCTTAATTGCAATATGCCGATAGATTTCATGATATCGCCATGTCAGCGGTTGATAATGTATCCAATATTAGACCACCAGGTGGAAGCTGATCAATCTCATTGCATCGCGAGAATGCAAAACATTAGCATTCAACGATATTTGATTTCAATTAAAAATCAACTTCTTGTACGCAACTTCTGCAACCAAAGATCTTAAATTGTAAAACTGCGATTTATTTTACCTTTTTCTTTTTAATTAACGCGAAAGAAGTTCACAAAAATATTTAAATAGAGCAAAAGCTCTATGTAAAACGTAAAAAATTATTCACGTTGGTTTTTTCCTCAAAATTATACATTTTTAAATAAATTTAAACAATAGAATATATATCAACAATAGAATATATTGAAGTGCCGGTTATTTTCCTCTCGTTTCCTGCCCGCACCGTTTCATCTGATTTTGACTATTGCCTCCTGTATACGCGTTTCTCTTTTTTCTTCTTCCGCACCAGGTCCTAAACTGGTTCTCTCGGAATCGATGCGAGTATGCGAGTATACAATACGCGAATTGATTGCGTAGTCATCGATAGATTCGCCTCTAGTCGCCTTTCGTTCGCCGAGAAATCTCTCGAGATCTGGTTGCGCAATTATACGCGAATATAATGGACGTGTCGAGCCTTCTCATTCATCGGTATCTTCTTTAATAATATGCCAAACGTGTAATCAGGTAAAACAATAGCGAACTAGTATCGTTAGGATGTGTCGCAAGTCGCAAGTGTTACGTTATAAATATTATTTTACAAATATCGAAGATAAAATATCGCGATGTCGATATAATTTTACATTTATTATCTAGATTTAGCTTTGTTTAAAATGTCTATATCTGCTCGCGTATTGTGCGCTAAGCTTGATATGACGAAATAATAGCGCTTGCAGCCTGGAGAACCGCGTATTTGCGATGACGTTACGTGTGTGAGTGTGTACGCACGTCTATGTTTATAAGATTATAGTGGACGCACTCTTATATAGTAAAGAAATATTGCTGGACGCATAGTGTGTATCGCCTGAGGTCAATATCTCCTGTCGATAGAAAGGACCGTGTGTCATACCATATGTACAGCTCGCCGCTCGCATTTATATAAAGGAAGATCCTGCCAAAGGTCCAACGTTCTTGAAGGTATTATTAAAGCCGCAGGGTGCGTTATAAATACGAATCCGTCGTTGTCACCGTCTTCGTCGACCGCCTACATCGTTGTCTTGATCGAGGTCAACGTATTTTTCGCGCCTAAACACAGTATAATCGAGACATAAATCGATTAACTCCGAAATTAATGCAAAATTGAACGATTTTTTTCTTACTTCTTTTTTTTTATTTCTAGTAAATTTATAATTGCATTAATCGCATCGTGGTCGATCTTTTTGAATCGCAATCATTTCTAGTACGAAAATCGCGTTTAACGTTACATTCTGCTTTTTAATCGTAAATAATTCGTAATTTAATAACGTCAGCTCTGTTTTACGCGTGTATGCATCGATACGATAAAATCAAAAACGCGCAACGTGCCGTATATTCATCTCGGTGACGTGGGAGGAAACGGAGGAGCAGTTTCTTCTCGGAAGAAGAAGACTCGCCTCTTGTCTCCGTCGTAAATCTGTCTTTCGGGCGCTCGCACGAATTTATGCTCCGTCGCGGAAACTGGGCCACCGTACCGCGTGCCGAAGCGTGCGACGACGGCGGATAAAAGTCCGCCACTTGTTGCTGCTTGCGACGCGATATTCGTACTCCGAAACGAAGCTGTTTTGGCCGAATCGATGACTCGTACAGAGAATCTGCGAATACACGCGCACGCGTGTTCTCGTCGATCGTGGAAGGAAAATAAAGGAGTGACCCAATGGAAAAGGAACACGACGACGGGCATCGAATTGACCTGTCATCTCCACGTTTTTCCGGATATATATATATATCGAGTGTCTGAGTAATTTATCTCTTTTTTTAAGTATTGTTTTATATATATTTCATTCATAATATGCATTTTTTACTTCGCAACATTAACACAAATACTGCAAATATGTTCTCTCGTTATTAAGAGCGATCGGGGATTTTTACGGCGAAGCTACTTGATTTCCGCACGTGCTACTTGCTCCGTGTCAGACACGGTGTCCCGCCAGCGTTGTTGCGCAAATTTCAACAAATACGACGAAGGACACAACACGCCGCGCAGTCCCTTTCAAACGCGCGATACGAGGACAAACGCCGTAGCGATTTATTGCGCGACATTACGCTATATTTACGTTTTTAATTCTACTCTTTCCGCGATATTCGTCTCTTAGATTAGATTGGATTTTTGCCGTAGTAGGTTCCTCCGGAGGCTTCGTAACTTTGTTCTCTCGAACTTGTGGCACCCTGCGTCGAAAATAAAACGAGTAATATTCGCAGAGAGAAAAAATTGCGCGAAAAGATATAGAAAGTTCAGCTAAGCGCACTCGCTAACGGTCCACCTGTCTCGAAAGAATGTACAAGGCGATAGTGTGTGTGTATCAATATAACCGGTTTTAAAATGGGCTGCTTTTGTCATTTTACCAGGAACGAGTCATTATGAGAGGGAAAAATACGTTAAGAGATCGAAAGAGAGATTAAAACAATATTCGAAATATTTTCCACAAGTACAAGAGTTTGTCGCGTTAATAGAAAATCTTATGCAAAGCCATTCGGTACATTCGTACGTTGTCTTGAAGGAACGCGACAATTCTGATACGCTGCGCTAATCCGTGAAAGGTTAAGGGCACGTAAAGGGGGCCCCTTTAGCGCCAGCCAAAGGGTGGGGCTGACGTAGAGCGGTAACGTGAGGCCCCGGGTACGACGAAGCGGTGGGCGCCTGTCGCTTGGCTTGCCGCACCGGCGTCCTTGAATACATCCCTTCTCTCCTTCTCTCATCCTTCTCTTTCTATCTTCCCGTCTCTCTTTCCC